GTGTCTTGAAGAGAATGGAATTCAAAAAAGGGGTTCTAGTATAGAACCTATCCCCATAAAATTTCAAAAAGAGAAGAAACCTGGGCTGGCGACCAAGAAGGATCTCAACTAAGTTCAGATTTGGGGGAAACATGTGGTAATGAGAGCCCAAATTCAGAAAACCCAAGCAATTTATGAAAGGATTCAGTTGACACACACCCAGAGAGAATCTTGGTTGGTGTCTGCACCATCCATCCTCTTCCTCCTGTTGATCATTTCTTTGGATGCTTCTGTGCTGATACCAGTGTATATACAAGCAGGCATCTCAATCAGTCCTGTGAGAAGTGGTCTGTGAGTGAGTTTTTCAGATCTTCTGTGATGTATTTGCTTGAATTCATTATATCTTTTGAGTTTTGAATTGAAATATATATACACTTTGTGTTTATATTATTTTGTTGCTTTTGAATCCCATTATTGGGCTATTTATTTATAGTTTAAACAAATAAATTTGAAATAACAGCAACCATATTAATTACAAACATTTTGCTGATATGATGGGTACAGTTTATCAAAATGGGCTGTCAAGGAGTACAGAAGGGGGGGGGAGGAAAGATAGGAACCACTGTATTACAGTGTTGATTCTGAAAAAATAGCTTCCCAATGCATTGCAGATGGCTTCTCCCTGAAAAAGATCTACCAACTGCCCATGTAATCTTCTCCCTATGCCATTTTGTCTTCCTTTCTGTAGTATATTTTTATGACTGTGTGGGGAGCTTTATTATTATGAAAGTGGAACAGCAAATAGATTTCCTGGGACAGCGCCTGCATTAGCAAGGCATTGAACAAATATTTAGCCTTTTAATGCTTTGTGTTTCTTTACTATGTAATGAATGTGTTAAGCTGGATATTTTAAATTTATTTGCAAATGCTTATTTCATATGGCAACAAGCAGGATAAGTGTCATTCACTAGACACTGCTTTGCATGTTTTAACAGCTGTCTGTAGGAATATGTCTGTTTATTCCACATGTTGTAGCAAGAATATGCAGAACTCATACCATACGAGAAGTGACCTCTCCCAGAATTGTAAGTGTTGACAAGGACACAGAATCTGGAAGGAAATAAGATTTAATACCAACAACTAGATTTACATTCTGAACACTGAAACCAGATTTTTATCAGTTTGAAAGAATTGGCTTTAGGCTGTTTTTAATCTCAGAAGATAAAAGGAAATGCATCAAAATCAGTCTTTTTTATAGGAGGATTTTCATTCCCTCTCACAGGATAAGAAAACTAGAGCTGATATTTCTGCTATACAGAGTACGTCTTCCAACTGGCGAACCAACACTGGCTTTATGTCCAGCTCCATGCTTTCCAATTCAGGATGTAAGTATTGATCTTCCACGGGGACTTCCCCACCAGTAGTTTTAGCGGAATTGCACATTGATCTTCCATTGACCTTTAGTGGACCTTTGCTGGATAGCTCAATGGTTTAGGTATCTGGCTGAGGAGCCAGAGGCTGGGAATTCGATTTCCCACTGTCCCTCCTTCACAGGGGCTGGACTCAATATACATATAGTCCCTTCTAGCTCTGCAGTACTAAGATAAGAAACTCCTTTTAATGAACTCCTTGCATTCCTTAAGTACCAGAAAATGTTTTTCAGGGGGGAGCTTTCCAGTAATGAAAGTATGCAGACATGTGGTGCAAATCACAGGGAACCAGATTTAATTACCTGTTTGCAGTAGGAGCATGGGCATTATGGCCCTTTCCTAAAGAGAAACTGAGGCAGGAGGTGAGCTGTGTTTGGGAGTACATTTTATTTGGTGAGGCATTTTCTTCTAGGCTGACCTTCGTTCTCACTGACCGCATGGTCTGCTGGGGCGGGGTCTTGGCTTTAAATGTGGGCTGGCAGAAGCCCTAAGCCCTTTCCTGAAGAGAAACTGAGGCAGGAGGTGAGCTGTGTTTGGGAGGACGGGATTTTGGCTTTCCAACATACAGCATTGATTGAGAGTGAAGACCAAAGTCCAGCTGAAATGCATGCGGGATTTCCTCTTTGCCGATGATGCAGCTTTTGTTGAATACCTCCAACAACTCATGAATCGTTTTAGCAAGGCCTGCCACGACTTTTGATTAACAATCAGCCTGAAGAAAACGCAAGTCATGAGCCAGGGCGTGGAGTCACCTCCCTCTATTACCATCTCCATGCAAGAATTGGAGGTTGTCCATGAATTTGTGTACTTTGGCTCAATGATCTCTGACACTCTCTCCCTAGATGTCACGCTGGATAAACGCATAGCTCGTGCAGATGGCCTCAGGTATCATAGAATCATAGAGTCATAGGAAAGTGAAGTTGGAAGGGGCCTACAAGGCCTACAAGGCTCAATGCAGGAATACAATCAAAGCATATCTGCCAGGTGGTTGTCTAAGTTTCTCTTGAATGCCTCCAGTGTTGGAGCACTCACCAACGCCCAAGGTAACTGGTTCCACTGTCATACTGCTCTAACAGATAGGATGTTTGACCTCCATCATCTCCAAGGTAGGTCAAGGAAAATCTGAAACCACAGAGAGGCAGTGCTAGTCGCCCTAAAAAGTACTGTGATTTCAGTGACAGGAGGCCTGTGGTGTCACTGGTGATATTACAAAATTCCTTTCTTCTACATTACACATACACAATGTTGCTACTCTTGAAAATGTATTTCTAGAGCCTGAGCATGCCCATTTAGCTCTGGGAACACTCATGATCGCCCTAAAATAAGAATTAAAATATGCTCAGTGCCAGCAGTAGTCCATACCCACCTGCAGTCATTTCCTACTATTTGAGAACCGTTTTTTTTTCTTTTTTCTTTTCCTGCCTATTTCCAGGATAGAATGTCCCAACTCCTTTTTTATTAAAACAGGAAGCAAAGAAAGGGAGATCCGTCCTCTTGCAAACATTTCCTCCCCCCCCCCATGGTTAATACTAAGTGGATCAGAAATAGTGCCATGGATAAAATATGTGAATGTGTGTTTATGTGTCTGAACTCAGTATGTCGTTTTATGTGTCCCCTTTTTTTGGTTTAAAAAACCTCACTTTACCCACAGCTAGGTGTTTCAAGGCAACAAGTCCTTCATGTACTGTAGTGTTTCCTAGCAGCATGATAATGTTGGAAACAGAAATTCTGTGGCAGAGAAGGAGAAGCTATGGTCTGTAGGTTGTAATTGGCCTGTAGGAGATCTCCATGCAGGCTTTAAGCTCCTTCTTTCTCCAGTCTGTGATGCATATAGCAGATTAAAGGCTATTCAAAAGCAGGGGAGCTGCTGCATGGAATTAAGCTCCAGTGTGCAGCTGGGGAAGGGGAAATGAGCTCTAATTTGCAACCTGAGAAGGTTTCGTATTGGGTCTTTCTCTTGTGTCCATATCCTGTCTTAGTAGACTTGAACTGAGCTTGCTGTGGACATGTCAAAATTGATAATAATTATACCTGACCCCTTCTGCAGCCCTACCCACAGCTAGAATGTGCTGTCCCCATAATAATAATCATGTGCTGTCATATGGTTATCCTTTCCAGGATTTTATAGGTTGTTTATCAGTCTCTTCTGGGGGTGCCCTGGAACTCTGCAGCTTGTCCAAAGCTCCACAGGCTGGCTGTTTTCTCAGCAGGCCCAGTGGGGAGTCAAACTCCCAGCCTCTGGCTCCACAGCCAGATGGCTAGCTCACTCTATTAGCTAGGCAGGTTAACCTTCTTAAATTGGAACACAGCCCAACTCTTGGGAAAATTTTGAGAATGTTTTCTCAAATATAACCCTTATCATGAGGATAGCCAACTTCAGAAGCTTCTGGTGGCCATTGCCCACCACACCCAGACCTACTGTTACTTATTTCTATTTATTTTATTTTATTTTATTTTATTTGTACCGCGCCCATCTGGTCCTAAAACTCTATGCAGCTTCCAATACGACATTACAGCAAATAAAAAATAACACAAAGATTATTACACAAAATATCTTCCAAGAATTACAAGACAGAAGACAGAGTAAAAATAAACAAGGAAAAATAAGGAGAGAAAAAGATCAAGTATTGACTGGAGGGAAGGCCTCAATAAACATCCATGTTTTTAGTTGGTTTTTAAAGATACCCAGCGTAGGGGCCGTGTGAATCTCTGGAGGAAGATTGTTCCAGAGGCGAGGAGCTACCGCTGAGAAGGCCCTGTTTCGTGTTTTTTCCTTCCGGGCCTCTCGGCGTCAAGCTCCTCAGCCTCACCTCCTGACTCGCTCAGGTGTTCCGGGTAGACCTTGGTGGGAGTAGACGTTCCGCCAAATATCGAGGTCCTAAACCGTTTAGGGCCTTGTAAGTAAGCATTAAAACTTTGAAGTCGATGCGGAACTGGATGGGCAGCCAATTCAGTGCAGCCAGAAAAGGAGAAATATGCTGGTATTTTCTCGCTCAACTAAGGAGCCTGGCCACCGCATTCTGCATCACCTGGAATTTCCACCTGAGTAGACTTTGTCTGGGGGGGCGGGACAGAAATCAAATCAAATCAAATCAATCAATCAATCAAATATTACAGCTCCACTTTCCAAAACCTGAAGTTAGCTTAAAATGTCAAATAAAAAATGGGAAGGCATACTAAAACAAGGATCAAGGGACTTGCCTTGTTTCAGGGGAGAGCATCTGGAGGCGTGATTCACTTTTGCTATGAGCATGCTTCAGGGACTACAGAAGTGGTCTTCAGGGCTGCATGCAGCTTAGGATGTGTGCTTGCTGTACCTGCTTAAGTGGATATAACGTGGTCCTCTTTTTGAAAAAGAATTGCAGCTAAACGTTAGGCGAAATGTTAGGAAGAAAAACCTCAAGAACACGGCCAAGCAGCCAGAAAACCCTACAAAAACCAATTGCTGCTAAGCTCTGTTTAAACCATTTATGCTGAAATTTTACTTGAAATCTTTTTCTTAATGTCTCAGCAATATTTCCTTAACATCTATTCTAGCTGCAACACCATGAAAGCTCGACACGTAAAACAAAACCTTGCTAGTTTGAGAATGCTAGTGTAACTGTTTTCTAAATGGATTAATTAAGTTTAGTGTATTCAGATCTCATTGTAGTACGATTTTAAGTCAATAAGTGGCAAACATCCCTAAGAATGACGCAGCAGGCAGCCATGGGATATTCATTTATTCCAAAAACATGCACAAATCGTCGTCCCTATTTGTGCTGAGTAATTGTTGCACCCACATAGGTATTGCCCACCTCTCCCGCACAATCACCCATTCCATGAGTGACTCACACTTCCCTCCCCATCTCTCCAGTGCGACAACCCAATCACCATTTGCAGTGTTCACTACCTTCTTCCACCTTTTCCCGTCAGCCAACCACTCAGACAAGGAGGCGGGTTAGGATCTGAGTGGTTGGCTGAGAGAGAAGGTGGAAGAAGGAAGCAGATGCTGCAAATGGTGAGTGGGTCATCACACTAGGGAAGCGGGAAGGGAAGTGTGCATCCCCTGAGGAATGGGTGAGCATGCAGGGGAGGCGGGCACTGTGCCTGCACAACACCTGTACAGGCGTGACAAACGACTCAGCCCTGACAGTGACAACTTAATTTGTGCCCATCTCTAATTTCTCCAGGGAGCCTCTACGTAGTCCTACATCGTTCTTCTATTCTGCAGGACCCCAAATGCTTAAAACGGTTGAGAGACAAAGAAGTCATCCTGCATTTAGCTGAAGAAGTGGGGGAAGGATGTGACCAGTGGGCAAGAGTGAATGGAGAGAACATTGAGGAAGACACAGAGTATGAAAGGAAAAAGTACATACAGGGTGTAGGTCAGAGAACCAGGGTAGAAAGAACCCTTGCAAAACTGGCTGTTTACACTGGCAAAATATGAAAATCTGAGGTTGGAAAATTAATTATTCTAAATGGAAAGAGGAGGAGATGCTCAATCTCTGTGAAGTTCTTGTTAGCAGAGAAATAGAAACCAATTAGATCCCCTGGTTTTTGTGTTTTTTTCTTTTTTTCTGTTTTGTCATTTTATGACCATGTTTAATTTCTAGTTAGTGTACTGTATTTTTTTTTTTACTTTCATAAATATCTATTTGCAACAGTGTTATGGGAGCTAATTTGACTAAATTTGGAGAAAGGAAGAAGTTTATCTGGGAGCATGATTTAGATGAGGTGCTCATTAGAGACATACTTCATAGAGGCAGCTTTGTTTTCAGCTGCCATTCATCAAAATCTTCTTTTTCAAAAGAGTAATCAGCCATTCACTGTTATCTAGACATTAACCCCAAGAAACTGCTTATAATAAACACTGTACAGTGGTGCCCCGCATAGCGAGGTTAATCCGTTCCGGATTAACCCTCACTATGAGGAAACATCGCTAAATGGGACGCAAAATGCCATTGGGACGCATT